CTCCCTCCCGCCGCAGGACGGGGCGAGCCTCGCAGCCGGGGCAGCCCCAGCTCGCGGTGCAAACGAGCACAGAAATAAGCGAAGCCCCCCCCCCGGCTCCCGAGCCACCCTCCCGGCCCGGCTTCAGCGTGTTTGTGTGGGTAAGTAACTCCTCTAATTGCTATTGGAATAGATCCATGCCATCCGCGCTAGGGAACTAACTGTGTCTATCTAGGTTAATGCAATTAGCATGCACGCAACATATTGCTCCCACTTTGCGGCAGCTTTGAAAAAAAAAAAAAAATGGGGGTGGGGGGGTGGGGGGGGAGGGAGGGAGGAAGACGACAGCGAGAGCTGATGCACGGTGTGTGATGGGCAGTAATTATACCTTGGCTCACCAGGGTCGTTCCCAGCCGCTGGGACAGCCCAGCGCTGCCTGCCCGGCCCGGGCATCTGGGGCTGTGCCGAGCCGTCGGGGCCGAGCCGCGGGTGCCACGGGAAAATCAGCACCTGCGGCGCCGGGCCGAGCCCCCCGCCCCAGCACCGGGCCCCCCCCTCGACCCCCCCCCCCCCGGCCCTCGCTAGTGGCATTTGCAGCCCCCCTCCTCCTTCCCCAGCCCCCGGGCAGGTGCAGGGCCGGCCCCCCCGGCGCCGTGCAGCGGTGCAGCCCCCCCCCCAGCACAGCCCCTTTGCCACCAGTTGCCCGACGGCTTGTGTGTGTGTCCCCCCCCCGACACTGCGGCGTTCCCAGGGTGACAGCGGGGGATGCTCCGCAGGTGGGGGCAGCCCCATCTCCCCTCTCCGGGGTTTTTGGGGAGAGCTTTGTCCTGCTGGGGGCGACGAGCCCAACCACATGACCGTGGAGATGGGGCAGGAGGAGGGGGGGGGGGTGTCGCAGGGACGGGGGGGCCTCTTTCTGCTTGGAAACCCCAAGCGGAGCGAAGGCGCTGAAAGGAGGGGACCTCCTGAAGTCAGACAAAGACATCACTTGGAAAGCACTTGGGCAAGGGACGGCAAAAGGGGTGGAGAGAAAGGGGAAAGTGTCCCCCCCGCCCGCCCCGGCCCCCCGGCCCTATAAGAGCGGCCGCCCCGGTGGGGCAGGGGCTGGGACCGGGGCCGGGCTGCGCGGGGCTCCCTCCCCGCAGCCTCTTCCCCCAAACACAGGGCTCCGAAAGGTGTGCTCCGGGTTTATTATTAACAAACACAGGAAGAGTCCACGTGCGGCAATAAATTATTTTCACAGGTTCCGGCGTTATTATTATTATTATTAATTATTATTTTTCCTTTCCGAAAAGGTGCTGGTGGAATAAAACTATTGCATATCTTAAAAAAAAAAAAAAAAAAATCAGGATAAATTATATAAATTATACATTCAGAACAGACGATTCTACCTCATTGTGGCTACTCCGTAATAAATAGATAAATAAAGTTGATTGCCCTTAAGAGTCTGAATCTTAATTTACAGCGGAGGTCTCCACGTACAGCATGTACAGGGCGGGGGAGGGGGGGAGCGCAGCCCACCCTCACGCCACGAAGTCGAAGGGGGGCTCGTTCTCGATGTCGTTGAGGGAGGCTTTGTTGGGCACCTTCCGCGGGTCCTCGGGGGTCCACACTTTGGCTGTCCGGATGATGTTTTGTTCCTTGAGCTGCTTTTCGTCAGTCCACGACAGCGAGTGGCCGGCCAGCGGGGGGAGGCCGTAGTCGGGGTCGCTCGGGGAGGGGGATCCTGGTGGGCAGGAGGGTTGAGTTTTTTTTTTTTTTTTAGGGGGGAGGAGAGAGACAGAGGGTTATTGCCGGGGCCGCCCCGCCGCGCAGGTGAGCGCCGCATTCCTGCGGAGCCGCGACGGGGCGGGCCGGGCCGGGCGATGGGAGGCCACTTACTTGTGCCGCGGTGGCAGATGATGATTTTCTTGGGCTGGCTGGGGCTCTCGCTGCCGGCGCTGCGCAGCGGCAGGTCGGACTGCACCAGCTCGCTGAGGAAGTTGATGTAGCCGATGGCCAGGCGCAGCGTGTCCACCTTGGAGAGCCGCTTCTCGTAGGGCAGCGTGGGGATGTGCGAGCGCAGCCCCTCGAAGGCGTCGTTGATGGACTGCATCCGCCGCCGCTCCCGCACGTTGGCCGCCTGCCGGAGCTGCTGCAGCTCCGCCTCGGAGCGCACCCGCCGCCGCCGCTTGGCCGAGCCCAGCGCCTGCAGCCGCCCCCCCGGCGACAGCAGCGCCGCGCCCGCCGCCCCGCAGCACTCGTAGGCGAAGCCGGGCGAGGCGGGCGACGGGGGGAAGGCGGCGGCGGCCGCCTCGCAGCAGTAGCCGCCGTCGGGGTCGCCGCCGTCGCGGTAGTACTCCTGCAGCTGGCGGCTCAGCAAGTCCACGTCGGGCTCCAGCAGCCCGTCGGCGCCCAGCGCCTCCCGCGGGGCAGGCTCGGGGAAGAAGTCCTCCTCGTCGAAGTAGGGGGGCGAGGAGAACGAGTCCAGCCCCCCGGGGAAATGCTCCAGCAGCACCGTCTCCATGTGCCACCGGCCGGGTACGGTAAAGGAAAGGGGGGGTGGGGGGAGTGCAGCCCCGACGGGGCGCGCCTCCGACGGCTCCCGACGGACCGCGAGCGGCGGAGGACAGAGCGGAGACGTTGGCAGCGGCCGGGGGGCGGGGGGGGCCCTGTCCCCTCTCCCCTCCCCTGCCCTCCCTCCCCTCCCCTCCCCGCCCCTCCCCTCCCCTCCCGGCCGGGCCCGGTGCCGCCGCTCTCCGGGGAGGAGGCCGGAGCCGGCTGGCGCGGCGTGGCCGGCACGCGAGGGGCCTTATAGCGACATCCCCGGGCGCGTGCCAGTGACCGCCGCCGCCAGCCAATCAGCGCCGCACGGGGGAGACGCCCCCCCCCCTTGTCCCCTTGTCCCCTTGTCCCCTTGTCCCCCCCCCCTCCCCTTCCTTCCCCTCCCGTCCCTCCCCGTCGGGGCTGGCGGCGCCGGGGACGCGGGGACCCGTCGGGGCTGCCCGCGGGAGAGGGGAGGCGACTTCGGGAGCCCCGAGGGGGCGGGCGGAGAGGGGGGACCCTGATGTAACCCCCCCGCAACAACGCGGGTCCCGCAGCCCCGGGGCTGAGCGGGGGTGCGGGACCCCCGACGGAGCCCTCCGCACGTCGAGGGGACGGCTCCGGAGCGCCCCGCGGGCCCCCACCGGGAGCCCCGGGCACCGAGCGGCTCCCGAATAAATCCCCCGGGCTCCCCCAGCCCCGCCGCGGGTGCTTTTGCTTTTTTTTTTCCCCCACCCCCGCTCCGATCGCCCCCTCGGATCTCGGAGCTCTCTCGGTTAATAATTCCCCGAGCGACTCTCACTGATGAAAGCGGTGCAAATTCTCACCGGGGTGAAATGGATTACCCGGCAGATTAGGGGAGGATTATCTCCGGCATTAGCGCCGCGATATTCCGCCCGGCAAAGCCTGTCGAGGTTGATGGAAAGCGACTTCCCAGCGCTCTACCAGCGCGGGCAGAGATCAAACCCCGAAGGGAAAGGCACCCCGCTCTATCAGCAGAGCAAGACAGGGCCAGCTCCACAAAAATAATAAATGACCCGACTTCAAAGCGCCTGACAGCACCGTGATAACGCCGGGGAAAACGTGTGAGTCACAGGGGGGGGGAACAAAGAGCTTTGCACGGCGACTTCTTGGAAAGCCCTGCCGCCCGACGGGCAGCATTTACAAACCGGGCCGGGAAGGAGGAAACCTCCCCGAGAAACCGGGGCATCCCCCGAGAGAGGGGCAGGGAAGGTGGCAGCCTCCGTGCTCGCCTGGAGGCAGCGTCGACCCCGCGGGAGACGCCCGGCACCGTGCCCCGACGGGGCGCACCCGGGCTCCGGAGCCCCCGGGACAAAGCTCCGGGGGATTTCCTGGCCACGCCGCTGGCGCCGGGCCCTCTGCCAGGCGGTCCCGGGGATGGCGAGCCTTTGGGTCGGTCTTTCAGCTGAAGAAGCGCTCCAGGTCGTTGAGCAAAGCACTTCGAGTGGCCCCTGTCACCGCACACTCCTGCGCTGATTCACGTCTCGCAGCACGCTCCGTGTCCTGCTGCACGTCACACAGCCCGGCACCCGGAGCGGGGCCAATCCCCAGAAACAGGATTTTTTTCCCCCTTTTTTTCCCTTTTTCCCCTGCCACCAGCCTTCTCCCAATGCTCTGTCCCTGTCCCCTGACGGGACATTTCTCCTAGACGCTTTGCGTGGTGGTGAAGCATCTTCCCGACATCCCAGCCCGGCGGCTGCGGGAGGGGATGGGGAAGGAGGAGAAGAGCAGCATCTCCGCCTGTGCCCGGCGCGGCCGCAGGTGGCCGGGGTGACCCTGCCACGCTGGGCACTGACTGTCGTCGCCTCTTGGTCGTGGCACGACACACGGGGGACATAAAACATAGGTGGGGTGCTGGGGAGACCCTATAGGGCCGCTCCGTCGGGAAAAAGGGGCATTTTTTGAGGGGGCTGTGGGTGCCCCAAAGCCACTCCGGGGTCCTCGGGGCGAGCAGGGGGATATTTTGGAAACCCGCTGAGCTGGCAGCATTGAGAGCACCTCAATCCAGCACTCACTGGCTGCCAGGGAAAAGGATTTCGGGGACTATCGCTGGAAGCAAACTGCTGGGGACGCCCCACACCACCCAGACCCACAGCGGTGCCCTGGGGGCGTTAGGGGACGCGTGGTGCCGCTGCCTCCTCTTCCTCGCCGGGACACCTGCATGTGCAGGGCTGGGTGAGGCGGCGAAACCTCTGTCCCTGGGGGCTCGGCTCGGGGACAGCAGCACCCGGGGCCGCGCCGGGCTGAGCCGTGCCCGCGGGGCGCTGCGGGGACAGCTCCGTGCAGCAGGGACCCAGCCGCATCCCCGGAGAGCAGCCTGACGCGGGGACCTCTCCCCTCGGGTTGCCCAAGGCTTTACGAGAAGGAAACCTGCGAAAAGCGGGAGGGAGCGGCAGCAGCAGCACAGCCCCGGCAGGGCCGATGCACCTGGGCAAGCACCGCCGGTGTGGCTAACGCCCACCGTCGGGGCGGCAGCGAGGCTGCCCGGCACCGCCCTGCGGCAAAGAAATTGTTCGACGGGCGCCCAGCACGCCGGTATTTCTATTCCCCGGGTGCAGGAAGGGGCGAGGGGGTCCCCCAAGGGCCACGTTTGCTCCCCTCCAAAAGGCGAGGAGCACAAGGGGAGCCCACCCGGCAGCCTCCCCGGCGGGGCTGGCCAAGTGACCAGGAGGGCTTGGGACAAGGGACAGGGAGAGGGACCTCGGAGGAGGGAAGCAGCACCGCTCGCCCTCGCTGCCTCTCGCTGGAGGCTCCCCGAGGATGCTGTGCACTCCCCGAGCCCCCCTTTCAGCTTCAACTTCAGCCCCCGGCTGTGCGCCCACCGTGGACCTGCTTTGGGCACCGTTTTGTCCCCAGGGGCTGGGAGACCCGTCCCGACTGCGGGTACCCGTTGTGGAACCACAGGTGGAACGGGGCGAGCAGCAGCGAAGCCCAAAGGGCAGCAGAACCACAAGTCTCGGGGGCCAGGTGTGTGGCCCTTTCAGTCCAGAGCCTTCTGAAGCACTTCCAAACCCATTTGGTTTGGGTATAACCCAGGAAAACGAACCCTCTTAGAGCTAAGGTAAGGCCCCAGATGTCCTGGTAAGGCCACAGGGACACAATAGGGCAAATACAGAGTATGACTTTTTTTCTTTTTTTCGCTGGATTATGAAACGCACCGGCTCCTATTGTGACTCTTTGGGCTCTTTCAGAGGCACACTTTTTGGTGCAGAAGGGAAGCAGGAGTCTTTTAAAAGACTAACCCTGTCAAAGCTGCCCCGACACCTGTACGAATGCCATTTTGGCAGGAAAGGAGAACGAACACAAAGCAATCCCTGATTTCATACGGCACTCGGGCTAATTGAAAACACAGCATCTCCTCCCTCCCGTTAAAACAGCCATTTACCGCATTGCACCCCCGGGGGGGCTGCCTGCCTTTTTTTTTACACCCCCCCAACGCACCGAGGGGGAGGCGAGCGGCCCCACGGCCACCAGCGCAGCCCCCCCACTCCCGTCCACGCGTGGCCGCTGGCACCGGGAGGGCGCAGAGGCTCCCGAGCCCTCCGCCGGTGCCTTGCCAAGAGATGAGGGCTGCGGGGAGCCCGCCCCGTCCCCCTCCACCACGGGAGGGCCATAAATAAGGCGGGGACGAGGCGCTCCCCCCTCGGCGCCGCTCGTGGGGCGAGCGCTGCGCCGTGGGGAGGAGAGGAGGCACCTGCAGCCGGGGTCGGGCTCCCCTCGGCGCTGGTACCTGGGCGCCTGGCTGGTAATGCAGCGTAAAGAGCCTCCTTTCAGGCTCTTTCAAGGCGAGATCGCGGAGGTCAGCGAGCCTACAAACCCCCCTCTGTCGGCCGCACGGCCCGGGGTGCCAGCGCGGCAAGCTGGAGAGCAGGCGCAGCCCATGGGAATCCCAACACTTGTGCCGGCGGCGGGCGGCGGGCGGGGGGCGGAGGGAGGGCTCCCCCGGCCCGCCTTTCTCCCCCGCTCCCCCGCCCCGAGGAGCCGCTGAATGTAACAAATGAGCTGCAATCGATCTGCGGGCACGGGGGAAAATCAAATTATATGGTGCGGCCGGCGAGGTGCGGCCGGGCGGCTCGCTCCCCGCCGGCTGCCGCTGCTCCGCTCCAGCATCCCCCGGCTTTCCTCCTCTCCATCCTCCATCCTTCCACCTCTCCATCCCTCATCCTTCCTCCTCTCCATCCTCCATCCTTCCTTCTCCTCATCCTCCAGCCTTCCTCCTCTCCATCCCCGACCTTCCTCCCCCCCATCCTTCATCCTTCCTCCTCCCCATCCCCTGCCTTCCTCCTCTCCAACCCCTCAGCGCTGCCCACCCTTGCCCTGCTCCCCCTGGGTTGCCTCCGGGACCACCTGCCCGTGCCCGGGGGTGTCTCCCGGGGCTCTCCGAGTCCCCAGGAACCCATCCCAGCCCCCCCGGAGCCTCCCGGCCCCGCTGTCGGTGCGAGCACCCCCGCCCCGTCGGGCAGCCGGGGGCGCCGCGCCCGCCGCCGCCTGGGAGGGCAGCACCTGCCGGGGGGGCGAGAGGAGGGGTTTGGCAGCGAGCTCGTACCTGAGCCCCCCTTTTTTTATTATTATTTTCTGCCCCCAGACATGCCCGAGCCGGGCCCGAGCAGCCCGTTCTGCTTGGGAAAAAAAAAACCTCGGCCGAGCCCGGCGTTTGTCTGCGGCAAAGCTGCCGTCCATGGGAATCTCGCCACTTGTGCCGCCCGCAGCCGGGAGGGGGCTGTGCTGCCTTTACAAAAAGAGACACAATTAAGCAAAATGCTCAATGAACATTATAAATGATGTGCAATCGCCTCGCAGATTGCTTAGCAAATCAGATTATATGGTTGCCCACGGATGATTTCCATGCGCTTTAAAACGCAAACAGGTACTTTCTGATTTTGTTTTCTGTCATTCCCCCCCCTTTTTTTTTTTGACCAAAAAAAAAAAAAAGTGCTTTAAACGTTGCGGAGAAATGCCACACGCTGAAAGGCGGCT